GGGTCGCAGCTGCCTCTGCGCGTCCTGGGGATGTACCTTTGTCGCGCGCCGGAGACGACTCGACGCCGCTGAGATCGGAGATCAAGCTCTGACAGGTCGCACGTCGCTCCTTTGACGCCGACGTGACTCACCCGTGCAGATCACATCAGGACATGGTCTCGACGCGCTCGGTACGACGCCTGCGACCCGTCTCGGGTCAGGTGGCGCGACGCTCATCGCGCCTGCCAGCGCTGCCGTGCAGGTTGCCACGACGAGGTCGAGCACGCTTCTATACGCTCGCCGAGCCTTCCTTTCCATCCCATTTGGCAGCCTGGGAACGGTGGCGGTCAGAGGCAAAGCATACGAGGGGTGGTGGAACCACATGTCACGGCTACTGCCGGCTCGACCCCACGATAGCCTCCGGAGGCTGACTTTGAGGCACAATCATCGGACGACGTCGGCGAGTTGAGTCGCGCTCGCGGTAGCCAGATGACCTCTCATACTAGTATCATCGGCCATGGCCGCAGGAAGCGCGGGGGAGGGCGCTGGGAGCAACACGGAGCTCCGTTGGACGTTTTCAAGATTAGCGTGTCAGAGTGAAATGGAACTAGCCATACCGTCCTCGGGCTACTGCCTACTGTGATAGGCACATCAGAATCAAGACACGTCAACCATGTGGGTGTCTATGTGTTTCTCTCGGGCAGTAGATTCTTGATTGTATCACTCCCGGGGTGTTCGACCGGGCTAGCGGCTACCTTCCTCTCACACGGCACTTTCCTCTCACACGCGGCGGGGTCCGCCGTCCGTGCCGGCCGGCCTCGGAGCAGCGCGCGGCAGCCAGTGGCAGTGCCACACTTTGCGGATCATGTTCATGTTGTCAAACGAAAGCGCACGGCGCACACACACACGGTGACGCGCTGACCCGGAGAGATCGGCGGGGGGCAGTGAAACCACCCCGGGGCCAACCGTCTTCGGTTTCGTCGCCAAGAGTGTACTCTTGGGCCCCGAACCCAAATAAAAAACGTGTACCCCCCTTCGAGTGTATCTCTTGAGTGTTGCTCTGGAGCGTCCGGTTCAACACGCGCTCGCGCGCTCGCGTCTGCTGGCGCCCAGAGAACGTGTTGCACCACGTGCTCCCGGCGGAGCCCAACTGCTCGCACTCGACAAGGCAGTCCATCCACTCGCGGCAGCTGAAGTCGAACTTCCACTCAATGCGGCTCGCGCCGGGTTGTGAGCTCGGCGAGCGAGGTCGGAGAGCGACCTCCAGTTGGCCCAAGCCGCACGCCACTGAGGCAGAGCGGCCGTGCGCGTACGACGCCGTACGCCCCCTCCACTCTGCACCGACCGCAGCGCTGCAATTGCGACCGCAGTGGCTCAGCTCAGCCAGGGCTCGCCCGAGCTCGGAGCCGCCGGCGGTCATGGGCAGCAACAAAGGTTTGACGCGTCGCTCGGTGCAGGAGGGCACTGCAGTGGAGGTGCAGCGGCCGTCCGGCGCGCGCGCGATGGGCTGCAGCTTCATTGGCAGCTACCAGAGCGCGTCTGGAGCGCTGCCATTGTGTGACCCACGTCCAAGCGGCGCTTCCGGCCTGTTCCGCGCCTCTTTTTACGCTTTTCATTGGAGAGGGGGGGACGAGGTCTCATCAACTTCGAAACCGCCTTTGAAAGGGGGGAAATGCGTCCGTCCCTGAGAGGGTTGGGAAGGGGGTGGTTTCACTGCGGGACAAGAAGCCTCTGTGTGCGGGGGCGTCTCGAGATGCGTGAACTCGCGTGGTCTTCTACAACTACAGGGCCGTACTACAGCGCAAAAGCTGCGTGGTGCGTCTCTCCGAGCACTGCGGCGCGTATTGCGGCGCGTCACATACGCTCTCAGGTACTCAGGAGAGATGGTCGATGCCGATGCATAAACGCCTCGAACTATAGGTATAGAATCCGAAATGCTCGCCCCCCTCTCTCTGCCCAGCTCCTCTGCGAGCGGGCCGCGGTGCGCGGCGCAAGATCGCGCCGCCTCCCAGGCCGTCGCTTTCCCCAAGCCGTCCCCCACCCTGCCGCCTCGGCGCCCGCTCTTGCAGCCCGAGGGCCGAGCGGGCGCCGGCGGCGGCGGCGGCGGCAGCTCCGCCCTGTCGTGCTCAGTCCTCGGTGTTGTCCATGGCCACCTTTTCGCTGCAGAGGGGGCACGGGGGCAGGGTCTTCCGGCGGTGCAGGTTGTTGGAGGGGGGGG